GAAATAGGAGAAAATATAAAATTTCTTTGTTAATTCCATATACTTATAATAGTACATGTTTAGTAGACAACTAAACAACATAATGAAAATAGAATCTAATATCTTTTTCATAGTGTTTTATAAATCCGTCCATTAATGTAAACCAAACATGCTGAAATGTTTATTAACTAATCATGCCTTTTAAGCTAGTATTTCAAGTTAGAATTCCTATTAGAGCTAATGAAGCAATGATTTACATTTTCTATTCACAAATACATTTTATTTTCCCCTAAACTGATATCAAATTAGGGCTGTGAGCAAGTGGACGGACATTTTACTTGTGCTCATTATTGGGACCATTCCTTAGCGATTCATTATCGATCGATTACCCGCAAGTAAACGGGATCGTGAACAAGTAATAAAGTGGTGTGTAGAGTATCGAACCCACGAGAACTATGTTTTTGATCGAGTTAAAGCTAATAATTCCCTTAATCAAATAGCAAGGTCGAGTTGTAACTAACATTATTAAATCTATCAACTAAATAGAAAGCAAGTAAAAATTTGTCAAATTTGCAAGAAGTATTGCTAAGATGTAGAATCTCACTTACTGCTCCATTTTTAGTTCGACAATTTAAATTGACAATTTGAAATCATACTTGTTGGTCAATGTTCCTATTTTAATTGAAAACCTCTCTCGATAGTTATCAAATCTATTCCCCTCATGCGACCTTCCTATCCCTCAATGAAATATACGAACATGATAAATGCATTAAATGAGCTAGAACATCTTATAAAAATTATATGAAGCATAGAGGTATATCTCTATCCTCTATCGAACCTTACAAAATTTATTACTTTGTGCTAATGATCATATTGTCTCTCTCAATAACAACAAAATCGACAAACAATTTAACTAGTGGCCAATCAAACAATTAAACAAATTAACGTCAATTAAATTATTCAAATTAAAAATTCATAACAAGGGTTCATCACATCCTATCAAATATGAAAAATTAGCCTAACATATTGAAATTACAAGAAATTATATATAAGTGGAAAGACATAATCCGGATTTTTGATAAATTGAAAAAATGAAGACAAATCTTGAAATCTTAAATCTCTTCATTGGTTTCTTAATAAATCTCCACTTGCTCTCTCTCTTCTTTATCCAATCCCAAGTTTGAATCTTCGCTTGATTGAATTTTTGTAAGTCCCCTTCAATTCTCTCACAAAAACAATGAATTCTCCTCTTTTGATGATGATAATTGATGAATATTGGAGTATATTATGTATAAGAGAAAAGTATGAGAGCCCCCTTTGTGTATTCTCTTGTTTGGTATCTGTAGTGGTCGAAAATTGGTGAAAAGTCACGTCCAAATTGGTTTTCAAAAGAGCTCCAATCGAATAAGGAAAGTTACACTCGCGCGCGGATTTTTTTTCTTTGCACAGCAGTCAGTATTTTGATCATAACTTTGTCTCCCGACATCCGATTGAATTGATCTAGAATGCGTTAGAAAGCTAACTAAAAGGGATACAATTTTCCTAGAAATATATATTTTCCAATTCGGACGTTTACTAT